ACAGATGAGAATACAATTGAAACATCAATGAAAGTTGCAGTGCGACTTCTAGGTCTGCAGTTGGGTGAAACAGGTTTTTTTCGCTTGTGGAGCAGTCGTGATGATAGCAACCATTGCAAGGTGAAACAATGGCTCTTTGATAGAAACCATTTTCAAGGTGAAACAGTGTTTTATGTATAGAAACCCATTTCAATATGAAACAGAGGTTCTTTGATAGCAACCCATTTCAAGTTGAAACAGTAGCTCTTTGATAGCAACCCATTTCAATATGAAACAGAGGCTCTTTGATAGAAACCCATTTTAAGGTGAAACAGTGGCTCTTTGATAGCAACCCATTTCAAGGTGAAACAGTAGCTCTTTGATAGCAACCAATTTCAATAGGAAACAGTGGCTCTTTGATAGAAACCCATTTTAAGGTCAAACAGTGGCTCTTTAATAGCAACCCATTTCAATATGAAACAGAGGCTCTTTGATAGAATTCCATTTTAAGGTGAAACAGTGGTTCTTTAATAGCAACCCATTTCAATATGAAACAGTGGCTCTTTGATAGCAACCCATTGCAATATGAAACAGTGGCTTAATGATAGCAATCCATTTCAATATGACACGGGGGCGCTTTGATAACAACCCATTTCAAGGTGAAACAGTGGCTCTTTGATAGCAACCCATTTCAAGTTGAAACAGTGGCTCTTTGATAGCAACCCATTTCAAGGTTAAACAGTGGCTCTTTAATAGCAACCCATTTCAAGGTGAAACAGTGGCTCTTTGATAGCAACCAGTACAAGGTAAAACAGAGTCTCTTCCATTTGAACCTCTTTGTGTCGGCACAACGTTTAACTGGTAGAATTGTTTGGTCCTTTGAACCTTTTACTCACGGCCAATTCCCATTAAACATGACCAGGTGTTCATAATGAACAAGGTATAGCAATGAATAGTCATGAACAAGGTAGTGCCAACGGATCGTAATGAACAAAGTAGTGGTAATGTATTGTAATGAACAAGGTAGTGGTAATGGATTGTAATGAACAAGGTAGTGGTAATGTATCGTAATGAACAAGGTAGTGGTAATGTACCGTAATGAACAAGTTAGTGGTAATGTATTGTAATGAACAAGGTAGTGGTAATGGATTGTAATGAACAAGGTAGTGGTAATGTATCGTAATGAACAAGGTAGTGGTAATGTACCGTAATGAACAAGGTAGTGGTAATGTATTGTAATGAACAAGGTAGTGGTAATGGATTGTAATGAACAAGGTAGTGGTAATGGATTGTAATGAACAAGGTAGTGGTAATGGATTGTAATGAACAAGGTAGTGGTAATGTACCGTAATGAACAAGGTAGTGGTAATGTACCGTAATGAACAAGGTAGTGGTAATGTATCGTAATGAACAAGGTAGTGGTAATGGATTGTAAATGAACAGGGCAGTTGTTTGGTTAGAAGAAGAAGGTTTTAGAATCCGAAAGATAAAATAGCTACAGGGTGAGCATTTCAAGAATTAATGCGTGATGCTATATTTCGGACCTGGGTTAACACACTTGAACTTGCGCTTGGAATGCATGTAAGCTGGTCTTTCGAAACTTTCTTGTGAATGACCAGGCTCAGAATTATGCAGGCTAGATTACAACAGGGTAACAGTCTGTAAGTAACTCAGCTGTCCGATGTCGACTAACACGCATTTCTTACATTCTCATCTTGATAGTTTAACACTAAACTTGCTTGAAAGAGGTTCTGAGAATCTCGAAATATTTCAGCAGGACGTCTTGGCCACGGAAACAAGCTTTCAAAGCAGCTGCTGAATGTGTCGTAAGCAAACAATAGCTGCCACTCACAAGCGCAAGAGCAAGTGGCTCTGGAACTATATAGAGTTAAACTGAAGACCAAAAATATCAAATTTGCGTTCATGTCTGTAACATACTCACATGCACATTAGGTTATAAACATTATTATAAGATTCTCATTCCTAAAAGTTATTTGTTAAAAATGTTTCGGCATGTTTTTATGGAAATAATTCTATTGACATTTTTTTTTTAAATTTTAAAACAACGATCTTACGCTATTTATTATTGGGCACAGGCTGCCGTGTGGCCGAGTGTTCTAGCCTGAATCAAACCAAATAGTTGCTGATCTGGAGTTCAAAGCAACAAATCATGCCAAACATTCCAGGTGGATGGAACTCGTAAGCCTTGGACCGCCTCTAAGAGAAGGCAAAATCTGAATTCAAACTGATAGTGGGCCCTCTAGAATATGGAGAGAAAGAAGTTGAAAAAAGAAATGAGTATTAAGTTATAAAATTACATTTGTTTGTTGTTACTGAGACTAATTTTTTTTTTTTTACACAATATACTTTTTATTTCTTGCTGGCATCCGTCCGTCACAATGCGACGATAGTGAAGACTTCGCAGGACGAACTCCACAAGGCCTGGGATTCTTCTTCTAGGATGATATGCTGATTCCCTACAGCAAATCGCCTCTCTCCGCCCCGCTGGATAACCCAAGGGAACAGCATGTGGATGATACAGCTTGGCACCAGTGGCGGAATGTTTAATTGTACCAATGTTATCGGCCTACGGGACTCCATCTCCGGGTTTTAAATTCAGAGTTTCCTTCTCTTAGATGAGTTGCCATCGAAAGTTAACGAGTTCCATCCACCCGGGGTGCTGGTGATGTTTTTGTTTGACTGGGCTTTGGCTGGAATTGAACTCCAGGCCACCAACTTGAGCAACAATTTAATGTTCAAATTTAAGATGGATAATTTAAGATCCTGACATTCTACATAAAATATGACTTCCGTTTCAGAATTAGTACATTTAATTTTAGAACAATCCACATGATTGATTCCAAGTAGCAAACGATAGATGCCTAGCAACACACAACAGATGCCAGGTAGCACAAGAAATTTGCCCAGTCGAATACGATAGATAGCAATTAGTACGTGATAGATGCCCAGTAATACATGATATTTGCGCATTAGCACATGATAGATGCCCAGTAGCACACGATAGATGCCAGGCAGCACATGGTGGATGCCAAGTAGCACACGATAAATGTCAAGTAGCACACAATTAGATACCAGTAGTACATGATGGATGCCAGTATCCCAAGATGGATGTCGCGTAGCACATGATTGTTGCCAAGTAGAATATGATGGATGCCAGAAGCACATGATGGATGCTAAGTAGAATATGATGACTGCCAAGTAGTACAAGATAGATGCCAAGTAGCACATGATGGATGCCAGTAGCACATAATAGATGCCAGTAAAACGTGATCACTGCCAATAAGTACAGAATGAATGCCAGTAGCACATGATAGATGACAAGTAGCACACTATTAAGACCCTGTAGGCCATGATAGATGTAAAAAAAAGCTTATGCTGGATTCCAGTGGCACATGATGGATGCCAAGTAGAGTATAATGGATGCCAGTAGCACATTATGGATGCCAAGTAGAATATTAAGAATGCCAGTAGCACATGATAGATCCCAAGTAACACACGACAGAAGCCAAATAGCATATGATAGATGACAAGTAGCACACGATTAAAGCCCAGTAGCACATGATAGATGTAAAAAAAAGCTTATGTTGGATTCCTGTGCATATAATTAATGCCAAGTAGTATACAATGGATGCAGTAGAACATGATGTATGAGTAGCTTATGATATATGCCAAGAAGCACATCATAAATTCTCTGTTACTCTCGATAGATGCCAAGTAGCACAAGATGGATCTCAGGAGCACATGGTAGATGCCATTAGAACATGAAAAGTGCCTAATAACACTTGATGGATACCAGTAGCACACGATATATATCAAGTAGCACATGATAGATGCCCAGTAGTACATGATAGATGCCAATTAGCACATGATAGATGCCCTGTAGCACACGATATATATCAAGTAGCACATGATAGATGCCCAGCAGTACATGATACATGCCAATTAGCACACGATAAATGCAAAGTAGCACACGATAGATGCTAAGTAGCACATGATGGATGCCAAGTAGCACACGATAGATGTCAAGTAGCACGTGATAGATGCCCAGTGGCATACAATAAATGCCCATTAGCACATGATGGATACCAGCAACATATGATAGTCACCCATAGCACATGATAGATGCCAAGTAGCAAACGATAGAAGCCCAGTAGCACATGATATGTAAAAAAAAGCACATGATAAATTCCCAGTACCACATGATGGATTCCAGTAGAATATGATGGATGCTGGTAGCACATGACAGATATCAAGTAGCACATGATCGAACTGCAGTAGGAAATGATAGGAGTCAAACAGCATGTGTTGGAAGCCAGTAGAAAATGATGGATGCCAGTAGCTTATAACAGATTCCAGTAGTACATGAAAGATTCAAATTAGCACATGATAGATAGCAGCATATGTTGGATCATAGTAGCACATGATATATGCCAAGTAGCACACGACAGATGCTAGTAGCATAAGATAGATGTCAAGTAGCACTTGTATGGATGTCAGTAGCACATGAAAGATGCCAGTAATACATGATATATGCCCAGTAGCACATGATAGATGCCCAGTAGCACATGATAGATGCGCAGTAGCACATGAAAAATGCCAGTAGCACATGAAAGATGCCAGTATCATATGATAGATGCTCAGTAGCACATGATATATGCCCAGTAGCACATGATAGATGTCCAGTAGCACACTAAATATACCCAGTAGCACACGATAGGTGCACAGTAGCATATGATCGGTGCCCAGTACCACATGATAGGTTCCAAGTAGCACAAAAATATTTTTATTTCTTGTCAGTTATCTTCTCTTTTATTTTAACGCCAGATCTCTGACATAATTCACAGAAAAGAACTAAAATAACAAAGAAAATAACATAGAATTTGAACGAAATTAATTGAAATGTTATAAATGCAAACTTCATGAACAATGTCAAGGGTCAAATAATCTTATTAACAATGAGAAATGGTTCAGTTAGAAAGCTTATTATTTTTTACATTCTTGACGCATAACTGCCAATTCATCTAAAAATTTATAGAAAATATTGGTACAACAAATATAATTAGTAGATAATGTTTTAGTAAATACAGCTCTGGTAAATAATAATCTAGTAAAAGATGTACTAGTAAACGGTGTTCTATTTAATGTTCTGCTAGTCATTGTCGATCCAGTAGATATTGTTAGTAGCCAATAAGGTTAGCGAATGGCGTTGTTAAATGTTTCTGTAGTGAATAGTTTCAGGGCAATTAGTGTAAGTAAGTATTAATAGTATACGTTGTTAGCACACCGATTTTATTCTCCACGTTGAACACCAAGACACGTCTCAGCAGTGCGTCCCTGACTTTGAACGAACCTCGTCATGCCCTCGCCATTTTTTACTCTTCCATCTCTTGTGCCTCTTGGGCAAGAGCACAGCAAGAGCAACATAAGACTTGCACAACATCAGATATGATAGTTCCCGATATGTCCCTTTGCTCGCGGACTTTTCCCCGTATGCAGATGTGCGGCCAAGGGTAAATGAACATGTCTATGAGCATGCAGATAAGGCACGACTCCCCAACGTCAGAAGCGAGTCGACCAAACAGGTAGCAAGGTACTAAGTGAGCCAGGAGGCAGATGCCCACATTGTCAAAACATCCAAAGAGTTCGTGAGTCCATTCTTTACTCATTTCTTGTTGTCGTCAGTGGCAGCAATGTTAAATATGGAAGAGATCTCACAAGCCTCGGATCTTCAACTTTCCTGGAAACAAAACAAATAAACAAAAACAAATGCGTTTGAGAATAACATGTTTGTGTTTTTTTTCTTCCCCAAAGAGCTGATTATTTAGGAGAAATGATGGTTCTTGGATACCAGAAGATAAACTGAATAGCAGAATTGTATGCTCGTATTTTTAGAGGTTTTTAAATGTGTACGGGGAGATAATTCGGGAGAGATAATTGTGTCAGCGTAACCAAAGTACAAGAAGAAGAAAAAAAGTGGACTGCCAGTTTCCGACATAACAACACGTGCCATAATTTGAGAAAAGGGCTTTTCTTAATCAGTCGGGTTCCGATAAAATGTTGTGGCTATTTGGTTTGTTTGTTTTTTGAAAGTATTTTGTTTTTTATTTTAAAGAGGGGGGGGGGG